GGTTAAAATGTTCAACAATTCAGACAGATATACAACATAAATTAAAATCTAAAACAGATGACGAAAAGGGCCAAGGTGTGACATAATGGTAAGCAATATAATTTGTGAACCCCTCCCCAAAAAACAGCATTTGAGCTTTTATACATTCTTAAAAGCTATTGCTAAGGATGTGAGCCCCTGTGGGATAAAAACCTAATAATGTGCCATTAGAACCAGACTTTATTAAATAATAGTGGGTTTTTTGACTGTATGAGCTGGAAATGATCGTGAGCCAGATGCAACTTGTCCTCTTCTTTACACTGGGCTCTCTTCTTGACCAGAAAGTGATACAATTCTTCAAGTACTGGAAGTTGACACCTAATGATCTTACTTGCAGTGTAAATGATCTTGCTGGGACACTTCCTATCATTGACTGTAGCACTGCCCCACCAGACAATGATTGACTGTGACTAATACCATGAAAATTGTGACACAACAGCATTGTATATTGACGCTACAGAGGAAGTCTGACTGATTCTGGTTGACTGTAATGTTTTTCTACCCAGGGGACCGGTGTTCAGTGCTGATGACAGCTTCCTCTCTCAGTAAGCTGGCACTCCATATCAGCAGGATTGGTGCCACTGCAGGTCACACACTTTGCCATACGGCATTCTGATACTGGTTTCATCACCATTCCAAATTCTCAGTGGGCCTGATGCTGATCTCACTTTTATCATGAACTGAATTTTTGTTTCACGTTTGGCAGGCCAACTTTGTTTATTTCTGTCATTGTGGTCAACTGGCTCTACCAATGCTGCTGGTCAGGCAAGACTTTAAGTCAATTTATGATCGCATAAGTTTCATTTTGGTGTGAAAATGCGGTCAAAAAATCCTGGCTTGTGTGACATATTAACATTCCATGAAGTTGAATAATTGGACCTTTTTTTGATGTATTGAGATTGTAAATGATTGGAATTCACCGTTTCCGAATCTCAAAACCTTGTTTTGACTGATTTTTTTGGGTCTGACCATCAACATATAACAATACAGAGGTTTCACAGCACCCCTAATACAGAAACGTGAACCGATATGTCATCACTTTTTGAGCTTTTGTGACTTGTATCCGTAGTGCGCATGTTTTGCGTACACATGAACAATGGATACAGCGGGCCATACACGTAAGTGGAAAAACAGTTACCAGTTTTGCTTTTTTTGTCAGATGTTACAATAGAAGATTAAATTAATTATCAGAAAATATTGTTCTTGGTGTAATTCTCCATAAGTATGAATTGACTGTGTGAAGTTTACCTCTGAATCACTCTCAAAATAAAGGCCTGAATTGTACTTGGCATGCTTGGGTCGCATCAAGAGTCGAGTGCACGCTTTTTTATTTACACACACATAGGCCCTAGATCTAGCTGCAATAAGCACATATGCACACATGCTGGCCATGAACATGGTAGTCCTACATAAATGGGCATATAGCGGTAGAAATCAGACAACTGTGGACACATAAACCAATGATTTCAAAAATTCTCTATTCTACTTTTAATAATAATAATAGTGCATGTATATTGCACAGAAACGTGCTAATGCGCTTTTAACTAATACCGGGCTTAGGCAACACGTTATGCTAATTTTAGACTTATGCTAAGACTTGTCACCTACTTTGGCTAGTAACAGTAAGCAGCTAGATATCTGACCTTAGTCTCTATATGCCCTACATTGTATGTAGTGGCTTAGTCTAAGCATGGGGTGGGAAGAAACAATTTAATGTACGCATTTCAGTTCCGGAAATTTTCTTATAAAGGGATCAGCAGGTAGTGCTGTTCAAATGTGGTCAGGGTTTCTTCAGCCTATATTGCTGAATGGATAATATGTACAATAAAACAATGTGAGGCAACTGAAACAAAACACAACAGGCCAGCCTGGTAGGTACTGCCACATAAATTGACTCAAGGTAAGCAAGTCAACACGTTTCTACCCTGCCCTTTATATTGCTCTTCTGAAGGAAGTCATTGCACTAAAACATGGCAAAACAGTCATCCCGAGAGGCTGCAAAGATCACATGAAAACTCTGATAAAAGCCCATCTGAGGGCTGAAATGCAGTTTTTGAAAGCATACATGTTTGTATCCTGTGATACTTTTTAAACACCTCTTTATGATAAGCTGCTTGAATCAATAATTTAGAAAGGAAATACTGTTTTTAACTGATAACTATTCTAGTTCTCCCTAAGTCACTGAGCAGTTTGCAGCAGTCAATATTATTACATGTACTTATTAATTTTGGAAAGAGGTGAGTTGCTATGATGGAGCTTGGCATTCACATCTTCACCAGCAGCTCACTCATCCCACCAGGTTTACCAAGCAAGCCATCTATTGTGTTCACACTTCCTATGATCATCCACTTTAACTAGTTTCTCCTGGAGAAAATGGGACCTACAGCAGTCCGGAGTAATACGTGCAACAGGTCTGGTAGAGAGGAGGACTACAATGAGCGGGGCACCCTGCTGACAGAAGTAGAGGAATTGCTCCTTGAGTCCAGTAGGATGAAGGAGAAAAGGAAGATGATGAGGGCGGTAGAGGAGGAGGAGCAGGGAAAGGACATAAGAGAGGCAGCCATGTCAACCCTTAAAAGGCCAGGTAAACATGCCCAAATCAAAAATAAAATGTATACATCACTGTAGAAGCTGAAAAGAATTTAAAACAAAATTGCAATGTTGATAAGCAGACACTGCACAAACGTCCCATGTACCTGCGAAAGTTGCAACACTCGCATTCTCTTAATGGACACCACATGCCTTCAATATTATTTGTTCAATAACTTTTGGGCCATATGATGTAAATCATAGTTTCTTGGAATTTGGAACCAGACGCAACATTAAGATATTTTACTGTAGAAGTATATGTATCTGGTTTGAACTTGTCTTTCTTCTACGGCATGTATCTGTGCACACATTCACAGCAGTGTATAAAATTTATTAGTTCACTTCATGTCCAGCTTGTGTGTTTACGTACGTACATGTGCATGTATATTCTTTGTTTCAGGGTACAACATCGAAGATGGTACAGAGCAACATCCCAAGAAATCTGTAGCTCAAGCTAGTTTTACTGAGTATTTGAAACTAGTGAAAGACACAAATGCAAGAGAAGCGGAACTAAAACTCAAGCAGTTTCACCTGGAGTGTGATAGGTATGGACTAGAAAAGCGCGAAAGGGAGCTAAGGATGCAATGAGATATTGCCACATTAGAGGTAATAAAAAACTGATTGTGAATCAAAATAATGGATCATCCACTTGTGTGTCCAAGAGTTTGAATATGTAAGGCTCCCATTCAGATTTATTTCAGGCAAGTCTAAATGTTTGACGTACACCCTACGTGAGCGAGAGGCGAGTAAAAGTATCATTCTTTTGGCTTAGGCCCAGGCATAGCCTCGGCCTAGAACCTACGTTCAAACCCAGCTAGGCCTACCTGAAGTAACTCAGGCAATGACCATTAGAGATATTATCCAGGTGAGATCTTGGAGTGTCAGAATCAAATGTTGTCTCCCAGGCCACTAAGTGAGTAAATCACTACAAATTGCAAAACAAAAGTCGATATGTGCACAAACGGATACTATTATAGTATCTGTATCCATATCGCTACGAAACCTCTCAAATATTAAGAATGAACCCAATCGCACTTACAGTTCTCCAGTTAAGAGAAAAAGTGTACATTTAAGATGACATCATGTGATCTTCAATGGTGTAATTGTGCTGTCACCTTAATTTTCACCTTTAGTGTAATTCGACAACCACGATTAGAAACCATTACTGTGGTGGCACAACACTCATGGAAAGGTGATA